CGCGTCCCCCTCCCTGCGCCCCCGGAGCCGGGGCTGCAGCGGCAGCACAGGGTCGGGAACCTCTGGGTGCGACCGCCCGGCCCAGGGCGCAGGCAGGTGCAGGGGGGGGCGGGGGGGGGACAGGCAGATGTTCAGAGTTACTTTCCCAGCAGTTCCCAGCCCTGCAAAAACATCAGCTCAATCTGTTTGCAATAATCAACATCTCCCTTTGTTATTTCTCGGCAGGAGTGAATCCCAGGATGACCCCAGAGCAGGGACTAGCTTAGCTCCCCATACATCCTCCTCCTGAGACAGCCCCGCGCCCGTCCCGGCGCCTGCGGTCGGGAGGGCGAGCAGGGAGTTCCCTTCCTTCCACGCAGGGGATTAGCCCTAAATCCCTGGAATAGCGTCTTTGCTGGCTGCGGATCCCAGCCCGAGTGCCGGTGGCCGTCCCTGGGTGCTGCTCTGCTCCCGTGGGCTGGGGGGTCCCCAGCCAGCCGCTCGCTCCAGGCTCAGCCCTCACCTCCCCTCTGCCCACCCAGGTACATGATGATGCGGGATTGCTGGCACGCCGTCCCCTCCCAGAGACCCACCTTCAAGCAGCTGGTGGAAGACCTGGATAGGATCGTGGCCATGACCTCCAACCAGGTAGGAGAGGTGGCAGCCATGAGCCCCCACCTGCACCCACCCTGCCTGGGGTGGGCGCTCCCGCGGGGATGCCCGGTCCCCTGCTGAGCCCGTCCTTGGGGTTCGTCCCTCCCAGGAGTACCTGGACCTCTCCATGCCGCTGGATCAGTATTCTCCCGGCTTCCCGGACACCCGCAGCTCCACCTGCTCCTCAGGAGAGGACTCTGTTTTTTCCCACGACCCTCTTCCAGACGAGCCGTGCCTTCCCAAGTTCCCCCCTCAGCACACCAACGGCGGACTGAAGCGACACTGAGGGTGGCACTGCCAGCAGGGACTGCCATGCCGTGCCCGCGCCCGCGGGCTGCCGGCGGATGCTGCCTGCGCAGCCCGGTCATGCTGAGCTATTGCAGAAAGGGTTCAGAGACACAACCGTAGCATCTCACGTAACCAAACCCACCCACCTCTCATGCCAGCTTCTCCTGCCGCCTTAGTTGTGAGCTCTCTGCAGCCCAAAGGTTTTGTTCTGGTGTTTTTTTGGTGTTTCCTTTTTTTTTTTAAAAAACCTCTTTTCCATGAAGTCTGTGCTTGAATATTTCCACTTGGTTAAGCTGAGATGCTA